TCGGAAGAGGACAAAATTTAAGGTTCAAATATTTGATTGGAGTTAACATAATTGAACGGATTATGCATGTCAATAGATGCTCGTTAATAATTATTAGTTGCTCTCATTGACACATCATGCTACCACTATTGCAGCCATGCCCCTATGATTTGAGGGGAAGGATTATGTGCTTGGCATGTAAACCCAAATTAATCTTTCAAAGATTTCTTTACTACTTTCTATGGTAACAAGGTAGAAGTGTATTGGCGCTCTTATATTTTGCACAAATACTACTGTTTTATACAAATTGTCGCTTGTCTAGTGATGTGCGGAGAACGAGTTAGATTCTGGTGTTGTGCTTTTCTCATACAATATTGAAGTTTGACTGTGTTGTGCTTTCTGTGATACTCATTCAAGATAAAAAAAAAAAAAATCATTTGTTCTTTAAATTTTAATATACCTTTAACCTTTTAAGTGGAAATTATTTTCATGGGTATTTTTTTTCTACTTCAGCCTAATATCCATCAAATTTTTAATCGGTGCAATGATTTGGTAATAGCATCTGATATTATAAAAAACAAGGGCATTTACATACACATCTCGCACCTCAATTTTGATTTTTATATTATGTCACTCAAATTTTTCATATCACATAAAAATACAATTGTTCTAACCATTCAAATATGAAATACACATTAACATGCATAGATAAGGTGACATGTATGCAGAAGTTAAAGTTTAGTTGTTAGATATATAAATACAAAAGAATTGCTTGGTTTGCAGGTAAATCTTCCTAAAATTTTTTGACAATTGATACTTGGTTGGTGCACTAAAAATTTATAGAAGCTTTTATTTTTAGCTGAGTAATAATGGGTAAACATTTTCTTATAGTTGGATACTTGTACGCTAATATCTTATAATATTTTCTGATGAATATTTTTATACTCTGAGTCTGTGACTTTGCTTCTCCCTATTTTTATTGTCGTTTTCAGTTTATTTCCATATATTATCAATTGTTTACATTTTTCTTCCAATCTCTCTAACTTGTTTTTATCATCATACATATATTTTTTGTCTTACTCTGTGGATTTGGGACATAGCCCTCAAATTTCTCAAAAAAAAAAAAAAGGAAAGAAAAGAAAGAGAATAAATTTGTAGATTATTACAATATAATTTAAATAATATAATAAAGATATGATAATAATACTTTTTTTGTTAATTTCATATGTTATATTTTAAATTATCATATTATATAATTAAGTATTTTATAATATAATTCTAAATTGAAGTTTTGAGGCATTATAATTTGATAATTTTCTATATATAAGGTTATACACAAATACAAAATTTTGAAAAAAAAAATGTACTACTATCACTTTATAAAAACATTAAATAAGAGACATTTCACCATTCTCTCTTCCTATGTTTATTAGACATTCAATATCAAATTAAGATATATAAAATCTCATTTAAGAAGTTATTGGGTCTACTTGGGACAACTAATTTATGGTTTCTTTAGTTTTTAGACCGCAATTGCAATCATGTTTGGAGAATTGCTTTCATGTTGCTTTGTAGAAATTTTTGTGATGGAAATCTGCTTTTTTAACCGAATCTGTTAAACTGTGGTTGGTGTAAGAACATTGCTATCTGATTTTTTTGAAAAAAATATATATTTATAATTCACATCTAAACTTCTTAAGAAGTTTTTTCGACCAAAAATTTACAATCTTTTTAAAAAGTTGTTGTGTAAGAACATTGCTATCTGATTTTTTTGAAAAAAAAATATATATTTATATTTCACATCTAAACTTCTTAAGAAGTTTTTCCGACCAAAAATTTACAATCTTTTTAAAAAGTTGTTGTCACCCTAAATAAACTTAAACCAAATAATTTAAGTCATTTAATCAAAATAAAATAATCCATTAATGATCAATATTGGAACTCAACAGCTAATCAATAATTAAAAAGTATTAGTTCCTCGATTCATATGTTAATTTTTAAAAATACTAGCTAATTATATGCAAAATTGACTATTGCATTGGATACATTAAATTAATCAAACCAATATATCTTGGTATGATTTTTGAGAGGTGTGATGGAGTGGGGAAGGGTGGTGAAATGGTGGTGCATTTAGAAGATTTTTATTTCTACGGAAAATGTAATAGGTTGGGGGTTGGTTCTCAGAAGTCACACGGGGGTGTTTCCACAAAGCAAAAAAAGGGACATCTACTAAAGCCAAACTTGAAGTTAGGTGTTGACGTAGAGAGTCTTTATCCTGTAGAAGTGAGCAATTAGTTAATTTAAATGAATTAATTCCCAAATTAATCTAATCAATTGTGGGTCAACCTAACGTGAATGCTTTGCTATGTGCAATTTGGGAAACTAATTTCCATTTTTTTAAAGAAAAAAGTTCCCCTTTCCATATTCACCTCTATCTCTCCCTCTCTCTCTCTCTCTCTCTCTCTCTCTCTCTCTCTCTCTCTCTCTCTCTCTCTCTCTCTCTCTCTCTCTCTCTCTCTCTCTCTCTCTCTCTCTCTCTCTCTCTCTCTCTCTCTCACGCTCTCACTCACTCACTCACTCACTCACTCACTCACTCTTTAGTGTTTCATGTGCACAAACAATAAAGAAAGGAAACACATCTTGAGGAAGAAGGAAGAACTTCAAAAACCAAGTCTGTCTTCTGATCATTGAAATCCAAACTATAGGGAACTGAAGGCCAAATGCTCTTCTTCTATTGTGGTTTGCATCATGTTTTCTTAAATCTGTTGACATTTCCAAACTCTTATACTTGATGAAATTGATGTATACCACCTACTCAATTATGGTTTATTATTGATTTACTCTAATAGTGTTTTAGGAAGAACTTTATATACCAATTAAGTTGATTGTTGAAGGTATTTAAGTAGCCTACGAGTTTGAGAGATTTTTCTTGCTAAAAAATTGGTTTTGTTTATTCTAAGCTATTTTATTAGTGTAATTATGGTGTGTGTATGTTCATGGTGTAGCGTGTTTTTATCTTGCTTTTTAATAAGTGGTATCAAAGAGAGCTTGCTCTAGGGATTAATTTATGCTAATTAAATAGAGAAGTCCACTAGTAAAAACTACACCATGTTTAAGCTTTTGTCAACCAATTACTTAATTTAGAAGTCTTGTGTGGGGGATTTGCTTTACTGTTTAGGCTTAGGAGATACACTTTTAGGTGATGAGGGTAAACCAATAGAGATGTTTGATAATGATTGAGAAAAGTTAAATAGCAAAATCATTAACAAAATTCAACATTGGGTAGTAATAATGTTTATCAACATGTGGGAAATGGGATAAATGTTAGAAATATTCGGGAAACTATGAAGAAAATGAACAAAAGTATGCATAAAACATCACTTTTCATTTTAGAAAATTAATGTATCTTAGGTTCACTGATGGGAATGTGTTTTATAATCACTTGAATATTTTTTAGAGTATATTAAATGAATTAGAAACTTTGGATGTAAAGTTAGAAGATGAGATTCTTGCCTTGGATTTGATCAATTCCTTACCAAATAGTTGAGAGACTTTTATTGTTTGTCTAAGTGATTCCGCTCCAAATCGCATTCTTAATTTGAAGATGGTGAAAGAAATTTTATTGAATGAAGAAAATAAAAGAAATGAGCAAGGGATGATTATGCTGAGTTAGGTGTTAGTTTTAGAGAAATGAGGTAGAAGCAAGAGTATAAATCATAAGGGTTGTGAAAGCAATGATATATCATGAGGAAAATCTCAAGCAAGAAATGAGTTCAGATGCTTTCATTGAGATACACGTGGGCATAAGTGGTCTTAATGTAGATTGCTAAAAAGAGAATAAAATGGAAACAAAAAGATGAAATAAAGATAAATGATTCTAATACAACAACTGTAGGAGGGGATGCCATTAATCTTGGTAATAACAACATATTTAATCCTACATGTCAGGATTCTCATTGGGTAGTTAATTCTAATGCTTCATATCATATCACTTCTTGTTAGGATTTATTTTCTATTTATAAGGAGGGTGAGTTTGGTCATATGAAAACGGGGAATGATGTAAAATGCAAAATTATGATCATGAATGATATTTATATGAATACTAATGCCAGATGTCAATTACGTCTTAAGAATACGAGCCATGTTCCTAATATCCACTTGAATTTGGTCTCTACTGGTATACTTAATGATGAAGAATATTATAACCACTTTGGTAAAGGTAAATGGAAGCTCACTAAGGGGTGGTCATTGGTGGTTGTTAGATGGAAGAAACACAATTATCTTTATTTGATGGAGGCTTAGTCTTATGAGGGAGAAACAAATTAAAATTGATGAGTCATTCACTAAACTATGGCATATGCAACTCAGTCACATGAGTCAAAGTTGTATGAAGAAGATCTCCTACAAATATATTATTTCTAATCTGAGGTCTACAAAATTTGAGGTATGCACTCATTGTTTTGCTTGTACATAACACATAATAGCTTTTAAAACTCTCCCTTCATCTAAAAGAGCTAATATGTTAGATTTGGTGCAAATTGATATCAATTCTATGGACTTTATAAGCCTCAATGATGCTCATTGTGATATCAATTCTATGGACTTTATAAGCCTCAATGAGCCTCAATGATGCTCATTATTATATTACTTTCTTTGACGATCATTTCAGGAAAGCGCAGGCTTATGCTTTGAGAACTAAAAACCAAACTTTGGTTTTTTTCAAGATTTTTCACATGTTAGTTGAGAGAAATTCTAGGAAAAAGTTGAAGTGTCTCAATTCATATAATAGGATGAGTACAGAGAGCCATTTGGGAAGTGCTGTAGTACTCATGGGATTATACTTACGAAGATAGAGCAAAATTTCCCCAACATAATGGAGTTACCATGAGAATGAACCATACAATTAATGACATGATTTATTAAATGCTGTCTCATTCAAAACTACCAAATTTTT